AAATTTTTTTCTAATTAAAGGAATATAATTCTGAGAGAAGATTTGACAGTATTTCTATTTTGGTAAACTACCCCAGTATTTAATCATCTTCTTGGACAAGAAGCATCATATTCTTGATTATACTTAAATCTTCCATTTTGATTTATCTTCTTAAGAAGTAACTACTCAGATTTCTCTTTAAATTATAGGTCACCTCATTTCCATCCATGTTCAGGCTTTGAATAAAAAGTAGAGACATCTGTGTAGCCAAAACCACTTGTATTATGTAGAACTCAAGTTTCAATATAAAAACTAGAAAAGCAAGACCCAAGACCCCAGTGGAATGAAAGAGGTACCATTGTGCCACAGACATCAAGTTGTATCTCCTACGTGAAGGCAGCTGAAGATAATATTAGAAGAATTTAATAAAGTCACAGAGTTGTAGCAAAGGAAGACAGGTTCTAACCTGTCAGTTTATCTAATTTGTAACTTTGCTTTTTGGTAAAACAGACCCTGAAATCAAGGATGTCCTTAATATTCTCCCTAGGGACATATTTCAACAAGATGCAATGGAAGGAAATGTTTGTACTTCCCAAAGTCAAATTCTTTTCTTGTTACTTGACATTGTACTTTGTCTTTTTCTTTGCTTTGCTCCTCCTTATGCTTCAGGTCTTGTGCCCAGAAGGCGGTGGGAGTGGAAGAATGAAAAGAAAGATACAGAGCTGAGAGAAATGGGTTCAAAGTGTCAGAGCTGCAGGCAGGAAATTTAGTGAGTGGGGGAAACTGCCAAAATCCTGTCTAGAGGGAGCGCATGGTCCTCTTAACACATTAGAATATACTGTGCCTGCTTTTGCATTGCTATTGACTAAATATTGACTAGAACCGCTCTCTTCTTAAACAGCAGAGACCACGCAGAGGCTGCCTTTGGCCCAGGTCAAGGACGTGCTTCCTCCAATACCAGAACTAGAAGCTACTTCCACAGCGCATCAGCAAGATCAACACACACGGTGAGTGATGCTTCAGTTTTACCAATGATTTGACTATTCATGATGAATGCGAATAGATCCAAGGGGGTATAGTTAACCCCAAACTGCTTTCTATCTGGGTGTAGGAGATAGAAAGTGAGGAACTTGCAAAATCAGTTAATATGGATTAAATAGTATGAAATAAAGTCACTATTTCCTCCAAAATTTAGGAAGGACCAGTCAACTAACCTCTTGGTCTGTTGCACAACATGTGCACCGATGCACCGAGATGTCAGCTCATCCTCTGGCACTGTTTCCTGGGATTGAGTCCTCAGTCCAGCAGGCTAGTCGTTGTTTCAGTTGGAGTATGAAAAAAGAGAGACTGTAAATTTGTAAAGCAGAGCTACTCACTGGCCCTCAACTACTGAAATAAAAAAGCTCCTCTAAATTTAATGTTTGGTAATCTAGATTAACTCACATCGATTTCCATGTATTTGAACCCAAAACTGTGATCAGATGTGTTTAGAAACTTTTTTCTTTCATTCAACAAATATTTATGAAGTAGCTATTTTGTTGAAGGCACTAATGATGACCGTTGGAGATTATTATAACAGGGAAAACAAGGGAAACTAGCATTTATTAGCATTCTTTTCTTGTGCTGGGTGGTGGTAGACCAGATCATTTACTCTTCGTAATATCTGGGTAGTTATCAGTCAAAGGTCCTGGCAGGAAACCGATGGTATGCTCACACTGAATAACCTGGAGAGAGTTTCATAAAGGACCTATTAAGCCAGGATGTGGGAAAACCAAAAAAGGAGAGTGCAGCCCCCTGGGACCAGTAACAGTGGGGCACTGCTACTGTCCCTAAGACTAAAGGGACAAAGAACTCAGACAGAGTCAGTGGCAGACACACACTCGCAGGTACACGCACAGAAGGAACCTGTGAGGAGGGCTGCCTGACAGCAGCTGGGGCCTTTGGTCATGGACACGACAGCCTGTGGTTGCCCTGAGAATCAATGTCCCAACGTGGCTGACCTCCTTTTTCCCACTGTAGTACTCCACACTGGCCCAACCCACCCAGAGCGACAGGACACGAGCTAGACTAAGACAGTTCATATAGAATGGCCTCCCAGATCACCAAGCATGGTGAACAAAAGGAGAGAGCAGATCTGGAAGGACAACCAAAGGTTTTCAGCATAGGTGGCTCAATACATCAAACTGGAAACTAAGTGCCAAGGATAACTGTGTGCTTAGGACTAGAGAGAGGCAGGGCTTCCTTAGTTCTGGGGTCTTAGTGCAGTCAGGATCTGCTGTTGGCTCAGAAATTCCTAGGGCGAATATGATGTTATCATAGAATTGTTTTAGTGAAATGTTCCTGGATGTTATGCTTGATACTTCTCATTCTAGTCCTCATTCTGGGACGTTCAACCTTTCACATGAAGAGCTCTCCTCTGTTCATTCACTACATGCTTTTTGAGCACCTACTGTGTGCCAAGAATTCTGCTACTCATTGGCAAAAAAATATGTAGTCAGTGGAGAATCAGATTAGGAAACCGAGTGTCAAGTTAACATGATAGAAGCACTCATGGGGGACTTGGGGAGCAAAATGGGGAAACCCTCATTCAGAGGACGTGTTGCTTAGCATTTAATAGATGTCCAATAAGTATTTGTTGAGTGAATAAATAAATCTCAACTTCTGTATCTTTCTACTAGAATCAGGGACTGTTACAACCAAAGAAACCTGTGTGAACACTTTCACTTTCATCTTATAAAAGTGGAAAATAAGCCAAAATATGTAGTGGCAGAGGCAAGAGGAAACCCTAGGATTTCTGGGTCCTAGCTGAGACGTGTACTACCCACCACTAACCTCCCTGTCTTCTTGGGGATGTAAATGAGGCTCCATTGCATTGGAAAGAGCCCTTAATCAGTGACTTTAGGAAGTTTTAGGGTGATGTTATGAGACACAGTTTTTTTGAAAAATTTTTCTTTATTGACATAGTCAGTTTACAATGTGTCGATTTCTGGTGTACAGCATAATGTTTCAGTCTACATATACATCCATATGCTTGTTTTCATGGTCTTTTTCATTATAGATTACTACAAGATATTGAATATAGTTCCCTGGACTATACAGAAGAAACTTGTTTATCTGTTTTGTATATGGTAGTTAGTATTTGTAAATCTCGAACTCCCAATTTATCTCTTCCTGCCCTCTTTCCCCTCTGGTAACCATAAGTTTGTTTACTGTGTCTGTAAGACACAGTTTTAATAAATGTTTTTAAAATTGTTTTCTACTAATTATTTTCAGGTTAACAAGATTTTTGTGTGAATCATATTTGCCTTTTTTTTTAATCTTCAGACAATCTCTATGATTTCCTCTGGACAATCTAGACTGAACCCTTTTGAAGAGTACTCATACTTTCATTTTGGGAATGAGGTAACTGGTAAACATTCGGTCCAGCTGAGGATGCACAATAGAACCAGTAGGAATGCTGACTGGTGGACGGAAACTAACGCGAGAGCACTCATTTGACCCAGGAGATTAAAGGAATGAGTTTTTTCAGGAAGCCATTATGAGTCTCATGGAAAACAAGCTGATGAAACTGGTGGAAACAGTAAAAGAATGCTTACTCTCTTTGTTTATCCATGTTTATACAGCCTACAACAGCCCCAAGATTTTGATTTTGAGGAACCAAAAACAACATTGAGGAGGAAAATCCCTCCTCTCACTGGCCCACATTGTAGATCCTGATTTGATGAGTTTGCCTTTTCAGATGGACGATTTCTATTTGGCAAATTGCTTAAGAGGACCAGGGTTGTTTGTTTATACATTCGTTTGCATTTATAAATATTGCTTCCTTTTGGCACTGGAATTTTTTTAAAAATTCAAAGATACCAAAATAAAAGGAATTTAAGTGGAATACTTGAATATTTAAATCTAACAATACAACGTTTCCTCTGATTCTTTTGGCTTTCATCTTTTTATAGTTTTGATGGATGTCAAGAATAATTATAGTTATTAATTTACAGTGAAACCTTGGACAAGAGGGCAGTTTTTAACAATGAAAAATAGAAAAATACCTTCCCAGAGTTAAGATGGAACTTAATCTCCTGACATCATTATATGGTTAAAATCGCTTATCTGAGTAGATTTGCAGAGTTTAACTGCAAGATCAGGTTTGATACTAAGCAACCTAACAGGAACACATGTTCAGCACACAGAGGTGTTTTTGGTATTCCATTTTCTTTCTTTCTTTTTTTTTTTTTTTGTTAGATCACAAACTGAGATTCTAATTGTAAAATTTAGGAATTGATGATGTGGCAAATGGAATTCTACTAGTCTCACTTTTTCTGATTTGTGTACCCCTGATTAATAGGTGAGTCAGGCTCAGGTCTGGGATTATTCAGCAGGAATTTAGGGGTGTCACATTCTCTCAGGTACCAATATTACACAATTTCTCTGAAGCCAAATTATTGTTCCCTTGCATGTCACCTATTATGTTCTGACAAATGACTTGGAAATCAGTGGGAACTTGGCTTACAAAAGGCATAAATTAAGCTTCAAGTTCTTTTACATTGTGGCAGCTTTTAGAAGCTAATTTCACTTGTTTATTAAAATAATAAACTCTAACAGAAACTGTGAAGCACTGAAAGATGTAACTCCCACAAGGAGTTTATGATGTGGTGGAGGAGACAGCACACGTGTGCCATTAGTTGTGACACTAGACGAAAGGATAAATGTCATTAACATTCCCAGCTTCCTGCTGGGAATTCACAGGCCAAAGGAATCATTTCCAGTTGCAGGTAATCAGGACAGCTTCTCAGGAGGGCCACTTTCGAGCAGGGTCCAGAAGATGGCTTTTTCTGATCTCTTAGTATAAGTCAAATCTCCCATGTTTTACACGTTCTCAACCCTCATGGTTCCTTCCATAGCTGTCATTTATAATTATTTTCATGGTTATTAACTAATGTCTGGCTCCCTCTCTAGACTGATTCTGCTCACCCTAGTATCTCTGGCAGCTGGTAGAATGCTCGGCTCACAGTAGGCATTTAATAAATATTTGTTGGATAAAGGACTATTTATTGAGCCTTCCACCCCATACATTAGGCACATGCCATGTATACTTATTTCTTTCTCACAACCGCTCTCAAGACAGGTGTCATCACTCCCAAGGAAGCTGAGGTCAAGGAAAGCTCAGCAATTTGCCTGTTGTCTCTGGACTAACATTTGGATTTAGTCGAGGTCTTTGGGACTGCGAAAACTTGCTGCTCCCAGTACTTGCAATGCAGGGTAGAGATGGGACAAAAGGGAGCAGGATGCTTGGAAGGGGCTCCAGCTCAGAGCACCAACACGGCGCTCTCCTGGGGGTGCGAGGAGGCTGGGTGGACCGTGCCCTTGAAGGAGACCTCTGCCTGGAACTGCTGCGTGGGTGCTGGTCCTGCGTGTCTCCCTTAGCCTGGCAGTTCTGCTCTCCTCCCCGCCCACCTGGGTCCCATAGAAACCAACCTGTGCCCCTTGGTGCCTGGTGTGATTCCTGGCTTCTAATCTGCACCACCACTGAGCCTGATGTTTAGCACACTCTGCTCTTTTCAACTAGCTCCCAGTCTGACGTTGACTCACCTCGCACCCCCTGCCCCCAGGACTTACAGCTTTGTTGTGTGTCTGTGGCTCTCACCGCAGGCTTCCCTTCCCAGCTGTGACCCACACTCACCTCTTTGCCCTCTGTGTCCTGCTGAGTGGCCAGGACCCCAGCCCGCCATGCGAAGGAATTCAGGTGCAGATTGGCGGGGCAGAGAGGAATCAGGGCACTCTGCTGGAAGGCTGCCTGCATCCAGTCTCTGCAGACACAGTGGAATCAGAGTGGTAGGAAGAGGGCTAGGTAGATGAGAGGCTATGAAGAATTGGTGGCACCTGGCGAATGATTTGATGCAGGTGCGGGAGGGACGGTCGGGCAGGGAAAGGGGGAGAGAACAGATACAGAGGACAACCTTCCTGGTCTTTGTGGGAAAAACAATAATGCCCAAACTGACAGCTGTTAGTTCTGGTTTCTAGAAAGATGTTCATTTTCCAGAGGATTCCCTTCAAACTTGACTTTCATCCTAGTTTTAAATTCTACTTCCCTCAGCCTCTACCCTGAATACTTAGTCATCCTGGATGGAGCAGTCATTCTTCAGACCACCTTGCTCCTTCTGCCTCTTTTCTGACTGTGGCATCTGCCCGTTTCCTCCCATCTGCAGAAATCGTCTCCACCCTTCAAAGGCAGATAGGCTACCTTGTCCATGGAGCGTCCCCTGCTGACTCCAAATGGAATGATATCTCTTTACTGTGCTTCCCTGGGATTTAACCCTCTTGCCAGGGTACTTCTCACATCCTGCCTCATACCGCACTCGTTATACTTACGTATGTCTCCCCAACAGACTGTGAGTGAGAGTGGGAACCACATCGTCTCCAGCTGACAGGTACCCAGAGCTCCCTGCCCACTCCTCCCTTGAGATACTCATCTTGGTAATGGAGCTTGACAGATGTTGGCTGTAAATTCAGCATAGTGGTTACCTCTCAGGGGATGGGGAAGGGGATGGGGCTGGACATCGACATTCCAGGAACTTCTAACACAATGGTAATGTTCTTTTATAAACTTGGTGGCAGGTGTATGGAAGTCATTGTGTCATGATTCTATGTAGCTTACATGTTTTAAAATATACTTTTGTACCTACCTACTCTAAATTTAATAAAACCAAATTTCCCAAGAGACAAATATTGTATAAATTACATCTTCCTTTCTCCTTCTGTCTGTCTATCTTTCTCTCTCCCAACCGTATTTCTTTCCCTTCACGTAAAATACAGTAGAATAAAGACTTGGACTCAATTTTCTGGCATTTAATTTCCATAATTTGACCTTGTTATTTCCTTCTCTGTCTCTTTTTAAATTTTATTTCCTTTTTTTCCCTGTCTACATCTTTCTCAACCATCTCCAAGTATTGGTGCTATTCTGATGAGTGGCAATTTTAGGATACCAAGTGGCAGGAAGTTCTTACATTTTTAAAATCTAAATAAGGTATGTTGTTGATTAACCTAGAGGTAGAACAACCAAAAGAAACAGTTAAAAATCCTCTATGAACTGGAAATCATGTACTTTAGTAAAGATAGAGTAGTCTAGAAGCTTCTGTGATTTGCAGATGAAGTAGGCATATAGAAGCAGGGGACATTTGGCAAAAAATAATACTTTACAAAATCCTTTGAATGAGGTATTCCACTCCCCACCCCCACCCCCACCCCCAAGAGTTAAGGCTGTCAGAGGGAACTATGGAGGCAAATTTATTGCTGACTGGGAGAGTATTTTGTGGGTTATCAGATGAGATATTTTCATCTGCAAATAATAACAAGCCGAAGCCAGAATGATATAAATTGTAAGATTTATTGTCTTACCTATAGAACCAATAGAAGTTCTGAATAGGGTGTTTTCCAAGCTGGGAAACTCAAGAACTCACATCACCAAGTGCCCGTGTTCTTCCCTCCCTTTTCCCTCTGCCATCTTCAACTTGTTGGCTTTTGTCTTCAGGCTTCCCCTCTTAGGCTTGTATTAAGTGGTGGTGCCACAGCACTGGCAATCATCACAGTCTTACACCACGATTCCTTTTTAAGAGTAAAGAAAGCTTTATAAGGAGCCCCATCCTGGAAAGGTTTCTCCTCGTGTCAGATCATCTAGAATTGGGTCACAGACTCACCCTTAAATCTACGATGACAGGGGAATTGGGACCATCATGACTTGTTTAGAAGGATCAAGATTTGCCTGGTTCTCAAGGAGGGGAGAGGAACTGACCATCAGAATGAAAACAGGGTTCTGTAAACGTGGAAGAAGAGGAAATGACTGTTGGGTGCCTCTGTGAACGTTCCTCCTCAATTCCAAGGAGATGTGCGGAGAGAAACTGACTGAAAACAAAACACAGACTTGTTTCTCCCCCTAGAAAGATTCTGGAGTGCATGCTCAGGCTGTTTGTCAAGCATGTGTCATTGCCTCACATTTTGTGATGGTGTCTACAGTGTCATCATGGGGCTATTAGCTCCTTCCAAAGACATGTCTATTTGCAGATGGACTGTGAAAATAGTCCATCTGTTTCCATATAGAAAAGTGATGTCAGCGTGTGATATTACAAAGGCAGGCACACCATTTGTAGTGAAGAACTGCCTGGTGGTCACCACCTTTCCTTTGAAACCTTATGCCATTTTCCTCTTAGGGAACTACCTCTCGCCTATTGAATGATATCTCGATGAAACTGTAAATCTAGGTTTCTTGCCCATTAGTCAAGGGGGGGGGTCATGTGACCAATTTGATCAGCTATCTCAGGACTTCCATTTATAGTGACATGAGGGTGAAAAAAAAAATTTGAGTTTCTTCATTCCAGCGGCTAAGTTATTCCTCTTTTAAGACACCTCAGTATCTCCCTACACCCACCAAACTGCCTTGGTTCTGAGCCTGGCTCTCCAGCCTTCCCTTGGACTCCATGAGCTACCAGTGACCTCTTTGCAAAGAGATCTTTTTCCTGCTTTAGTTTCCAGAGCTGGTTTCTGTTGCCTGCTAGATACAACATCTAACACCTACTTTATTTCATAAAGTCATAGGATGTCTGAGCTGTAAGAAATCTTATAGATCATCTGGTCAATGCCCTGATTTTACAGCTGAGGAAACTGAAGCTTCCAGAAGATGAGGGTTTCACCCAAGGTCACATCACAGAGCTTTTCAGTGACAGAACTGGGAATAAGACAGGGTCTCCTTTGTTCAGGGTAATGCAGTCTGCTTTTGATTTTAATTTCTTTTTAGTATAAACTACAGCCTGCCTTTCTCCTCCTCCTCTCTCTCTCTCTCTCATGCTTAATACAGAATAATGACTTTAAAAATCTTCATTTCCCATCCCCCTAAAC